TATTTTTATTTAGCGTTTTTCCTGGAAAGATCACAACAAAATCTACGAGTACTCCAATTTTCAGGTTTTTTCATGCATTCTTCTGAACGTGAAAACTGACTGAATTTGGAGTACTTTTTCAGTTGGCCCAGCCGAATAGGCGCAATGACTATTTCGCGGTCTAAATGATTTTTTGAAAATGTTATAATATTTTTCCTGGAAAGAACACGACTTTTTTTTTTTTTTCCTTTTTTTAACACACACTCCCTGCAATGCTAGTGGTGTTGGTAAGAGCAGACACCGCTAGCATCCGGGGGGGCTCCATTTATTGGTGGGGAGCGTCACCTGCTGGAAAACGGGTCCAGCGTCCCTTTACAGAATGAAAAAATGAATGTTAACTCTGTCAGCATTGATTACTCTAGTATCCAGAGGATTGACTGCACAGGTTGTCAGAGGAGGGGAGAGAAACCTCTTCACCCCAGTACTGGGCGCCAGATGCCTGAAGCTACAAAATTAGTTCCCTCCTTCCTCAAGCGCTATTTGTTGTTGCAGGTCCCTCCAATGCTTCCTTTTAACAACATTGTCCACTGTCCCGATAGCTCCGGATGTCTGTATTCTATATATGCGGGGTCCTGCCCAGGGGGCACCAGGGAGGACGCCCATTCGGGGGCGTCTCTGAGGAATGTAGCGGAGGTCTGATAAAGGCAAGGGGATTTTAGATGTTGGAATCAGGATTGACAGGGTATGGATGGGAAGGGGTCTGGAAAATCCGAGGGAGGACGTCATGGGAATGAGGGCTCTATGTTTGTCCAGTCTTTAAAAACGAGATGGTAGTCCCTTAGGTCTTCCAAATCGTGCGACCCTTCCCTAAATTCTCCACTCCACACTACTTTTGCAACCCATCCTTCTCTTTCCCCACCTAACCAGGCCCTATAAAATACCGTAATCCATCTCCTAACATCTCCGATTTGTTTAAAGGAATCCGATTGTGCTGTGGTGTCCAGCCATCTACGTGTGAGTTCAAAGTGAACTAGCTGCTGGATTTGTTCAGTAATCTTTGCCTCCTCTACCCGTACCTTTTCCATAGCCAGGGTGCATCTCTGCCACCAAAGTGCCCATAGCACTGCCCTTCTTCCAATCGTATACATGTTTCTTGTGAATGTCGTGGTTGTTCCTGCCTGTGACCAATACCCATCCAGTATGGCTTGCCATGACCAGGGTCAGGGAGTATCCGGCACCAATTTCCTCCAGATACGGTCCCACCACCTCCATATGAATTGGGCAATTGGGCATTGCATGAAGATATGCTCAATAGTCTCTGCCTTCTTGTGGAAGGGGAAGAGGCTTTGGCACCTTTAGCACCAAGGGAGCAAGAGACCTTTTTGTTCAAGGTTTGTGTGGCTAATTAACAAATCGTTGGTTGACAGGCAGCGGTGGCTATCTGCCACTGTAGTGAAGTGATTTTCATAGGCTTAGATTTTTGTTCCTTAAACCATTTAATCGATGTCAAGAGGGCACAGTCCACATTAAGATGCCTAGCCCATCTATCGTTGATCATATCCCTCAGATATCGTCTTAGTCTGAGCATTTTGTAGGTTGATTTAACTGCTAGCTGGTACAAATTAATGTGTCTTGTCTTGGGGACGCTCCTCGTATAGGGAAGTAGCCAAGTTCATTCCACCGGATCCAGAGGCAGGTCCTGGATTGGTGTGTTGGGTTGGAATGCCCATTTTCTGACCTTTCTCCTCGATCACCCTTATTCGGTGTATGGTTGTTTTATTTGTCCATTCGAAGGGGACTCTACTCCCTGCGAGGGTGTCTGTTTTGTCAGTTGTGTAACGTTCGACTAAGACTGCTTGGGGTGAATCAAGCCAATCTTCCACGGGGACCCAGTTGTCGCCACCCAATCCCCTTCTCTCAGGGTAGGGCCCTGTCTGAGGATTCAGTACCATTCCAGTGGAATAGAAGGTTTTCCAAAGATCCATCCACATGGGGGCAATACCTTAAGGTTGCTCTCAGTTGGTGCCCTGTTTTCCAATCCTTCCTTTCCATGTCCCAAATGTCCCATATCCCAAGAATCTCGTGCTTAACCCAGCCTTTCCAGGGCGGGGATGAACTTTCCATAACGCGACCCCTTGTGTCTGTTACCCATCTGTTACCGAAGAAGGGTTGCCGATGGATTTCCTCCCATCAATCGGGGGGGACCTTGTCAGGGAGTGGGAGTTTTCACCAGGTTTGCAGTAGGGAGTGCCAGAAACTATTCATCGGCTGACCCCCCCCCTTCTGAATCCTCCCTCCCCAACGGGAGTTTGCGTGGGATCGTCCAGTAGCGGTCCTCTAACCAAGTCTGCGGATGAATCGTGTGGGGTGTATCCGGGGCCAGTCTGGCTAGGTGTTCCAAGGCTAGAGCACACCACGGACTCTGGGGGGTAAAAATCAGTTTTTTTATTCATTTTAGTCTTAACGCCTAAACCTGCGTGGCCGGGTCAAGTACGCCCAAGCCTCCCCCTGTTTTCGGTTGAATGATCGAGTCCCAGGCCACTCGGCTAGTAACATTGGTCTGCTCTCCATCCCCCCCCCATAGGAAGGTTGTTGCCTTTCTCCTTAGGCTTCCCGGAGTTGTTTTACTCAATGGCCAGAGAGAGACTTGTACCATAGCGATGCAAAAATTACATCATTAAGTACCAATGCTCGACCGAAGAGGGATGTGTGCTTGTTTATCCAATCCTTCAGTTTGTGCTGAGCCGGGGCGCTGATCCAGTCATCATTGTTCGGTGGTCGCCCTTCTGTAGTCATAGGTACTCCCAGGATCCTTATTGGGGAATCCAATGGTATCCATGTGATGAGTGGTGATTCTGGAGGGCGTCCTCCTTGGTGATGGATCCACCATCCTTGTGTCTTAGACCCCCCAGTTTACGGTCATGTCAAAAACCCTGGCAAACTTTTTCATCATGTGTTGGATTTCCTCTATGTTGCGGTGTGTGGCTTCTGCCATTATTGTGAGGTCATCTGCGAACAAGGAGCACACCAGGATTGCATCCTCGGGAATGTGTGTAACACGTATTCTGGAAATGCTTTTATTTTGAACACGACCTCGTCTATGGATTCTCAAAATTTCAGGTTTTTCTGTGGGTTCCTCTAACTAAAAAAAATCGCCAGAGTGGCCTCTTGCAAAACACCTGTTTCATTGCACCTGACCTCCCTGTTTTAAGAAGACGGGCCTCAACGCCTGGGCCTGAGGGCCCTTTTGCAGTTCACATACCGTCACTTCTTTTTGGGGTCCGCTTTCACCCGAGGACCAGTCCAACGCCCCCCACTTCTTTTTGGGGTCCGCTTCCACTCGAGGACCGGTCCTTCCTTTTTCCAAAACTCCCGGTTCTACCAGAGTTAGCTGTAGGTAGCCCGCAATTTTGTCAAGGACCGGTCTCCCAAATTTTTTTGCCCCCTAAGAACCCACTTTGCGTCCTGGTCACCCGCCGCCGAAAATGCGACACCTTGACACGGACACCGAAGCCCACCATACCTCAGCCTTAGGGCTGCGAATTGGCTCACCATATTGGCTCACCCTTATTTGTGTCTAGCCCATGCCAGACACCAGCCCGGCCCCAGGTGCTGCACGGGCGGGTCACCCTCGAACACAGCACCAGACCAGCTTCATTCACACCAAGGAATAACCAAGTACCTCTCGAGCACAGCACCTGGCAGGTGCAGCTCGGCCATGCAACCGCCCGCGTTAGGTTGTTGGTGCTCGTGGGTTCCGCCGCTTTGATAGCTACCGGTGATCTACGGTCCGCAATGGAATCTGGAGTAGCCCGACCTGTGCGCGGATGAAACAGCAAAACAGAAAAACAGTCCGGTACGGACGGCCTCAGGGTGTACTCACACTAGCCGTATCTCAAATGCGTCTGACCGCATTCACCACCATACCTGGATGTATCTGACCGAAATTCTGTCCAAACATACGTAAGAAAGTCGTAGTGTGAGCATGCCCTCAGTTGGTACACCCAAGATCTGTTGTATTGCAGACATGTGCTCGAATCTAGGTAGAGCTAGATGAACCCATGTGATCATTTATCTCAAAACTACTGGGAAAACAAACAAGAACAAAAGCAGCCCGCCATTCCATGGTCCTTACGCGCCCGCCATTCTCTTCGTGGTAGCCTCCTACAACGAAAATGCGCGGGCTTAGCTCAGTTGGTACACCCGTGAACGGTTGAAATAGAGACCCAAGTTCGCGTCCATGTAGAATCAGATGACCAGAATAAAGTCATTCTGAATTACGAAGGGCTTGAGATTCTCAAGGCCGTTGCCCGGAAAAAAAAAGCCAGGTAGGACCGAATCCCCGGGGCCAAGTCTCACTAGCAGCCTTGAGTTTCCTCAACCCCCGAATCTGGACGTGTTTGTGATTTGCAGAAAATGGCGTTGAGTTTCCTCAACCGCACGTCTCCACCAACACGTCCACATTCAGGCGTTGAGGAAACTCAATGCTGCTGGTGGAACCTGGCCCCAGGTAGCGGAGAACAGCCAACCACGTCCCGATGAAACCACCCCCCTCGCAGCACTGGTGCGAAGAATCCCCACGTAACCAAACCTGCAGCGCGCCGCGATTGGTAGGGAACACCCAAGTGGTGCAGGGCAGAAAACAGAAGGACCTTCCCAAAAAAAAAAAAAACAAAAAAAAAACAGAAGGGCTGGGACGGGGAAGGCCCCAGGAGCCAGAAAAAGAGCGCCTGGTCAACGCTTTGAAAGCCGTCGTCCGCGCGAGGGTCCACGCATCGGACCAGATCGACGTCGCGAAGGACTCGCCAGCATTTTACCTTTCACCTTTCAATGCGCCCGCAGGAACAAATCCTGCTTTGCACCTCGTGCGCAGATGCAATCTCGACATGTGCGCGTTCATTCTGAACGCAACCGGCTACGGCAATTTCAATTGCCGTACGTACGGGAGGATCATTGTGAGCGATGCAGCTGTCATCGCTCGGCGCTCCTGTCTTCGCTGTGCTTCGCCGCGGCGTTGAGATGGTCAAGCATTCGTCCTGCGCTAGTCTTGATGAATGAGGTCGACGGGATTTGCCGTGCACCAGCGTCGGTGATTGACGTCCGCATGACGGATTTTGCGCACGCACTCTCCTGGGAGAAGCGACCTATAAGCGTTCGTGATTGACGTCTGCATGACAAATTTTGCTCATGCACTCCCCGGGACAATCGAGCTATGATGAACTTGCCGTTCACATCGACGGCCATCGCTAGCGACGAAGAATGAAGGTACCAACGTTCCTCTCTCTCTCTCTCTCTCTCTCTCTCTCTCTCTCTCTCTCTCTCTCCTGTCTCT